GCGGCCACGAGAAGCCGGGTGCGCAAGTTCGGGCACGCCATGATCATCAGATGGAGGCCAACGTTGAAGGTGCCGCAGCGAGTGTTGAAGGCTGGCTTCGGGACAGGAAGAGGAGGGCTCGAAGGGCAAAGAAAGGGAAGAGGAGGAGGAGGAGGAGGAGGAGGAGGAGGAGGAGGAGGAGGAGGAGGAGGAGGAGGAGGAGGAGGAGGGAGGGAGGGAGGGGGAGGGAGGGAGGGAGGGAGGGAGGGAGGGAGGGAAGGAAACAGCGAGCACGAGAAACGCGGGAGGCGGGAGGACGGGCGAGGGAGAAGCGAGCAGAGGCCAGGGAGGGAGGACGCATCGGGCAGCAGGAGGGTGGCGGGGAGCGCGAGCGGGGCACGGGGGGCGGGGAGACGAGGGCTGTTGCGAGCGTGGAGCGAGGATGCACCGCCCCAGAACGCTCCGAGATGCCCTCCGCTGCCTCCCGAGCGCGCCAGGCCGGGCGGCGGCGCCTGGCCACACGCCCAGAGGCTCTCCCTCCCGCGGCGCCCGGACCCGCCGGCTCTCCCGGAGATGCCCGGCTCGCCGAGGCCCGGCGTGGTCTCTCTGTGGCCTTCGCCGCGGGCCTCCGCCCTTGGGAGGAGCAGCAGCAGCTGGCAGCGCACTCCTCCTCCTCCTCCTCCTCCTCCTCCTCCTCCTCCTCCTGCTCCTGCTCCTCCTCCTCCTCCTCCTCCTCCTCCTCCTGGGTGGGCGTCGGCCCCCGGGGGGGGGGGGCGGGGCGAGAGGGGTGGCCGCGTACACGTTGTTCATGTCTACGTATTCGAAAGTTCTTTGATGTTTGGGGGGCCAGGATCCTTTCATTTCTAATTGTTCTGTCCTGGGCCCCTTCCTGGCCACCTAGGGGGCCAGGAACATTTAGAAACGAGCACAATTAGACATGAGCACGATTAGAATTGAACGACGTGTACAGAAGCAGGGGGCTTCGTAGAAAGGGGTCGGAGGCCCTCAAGAAGAGCTCCCCGAAGGCAAGAGGGCTGCTGAGCGCCCCCCTTGCCTTTCTCAGGAGCCCCCCCCCCCCTCCGAATCCCAGCCCCTTCCCAGCCCCGACGTCGTGTTTTGCTTTTCTTTCACGGCGTGCACCCACGGAGGTCTCGACCTCTTCCCCAGGGCCAAGGTTTCATGCCGAGTCGTGCTGCGACAGTCCCGGGGCACAGGGAGGGCCCCGGGAGGCCCCACAAGGCCGACAGATTTCCGTACCCATCGGTCGTTGAAAGTAGGTATTTTTGGATTCCCAGATTCCAATCTACTCTCTGCGCCTTCCTACTTCAAGAGTCGAGTGGTTTTCCCTCTTCCTTCCTCTTCAGGAGGCGGGCGGAAACCCAATATATTTCCAACGCTTTCCTACTTCATGTTTCTACCTACTTCTTCCGACCGATGGGTACAGACTGTCTCGTCACGCTTCACGACACCAGGGGGGCCCTAACCCTCTTCCCTCCTCCCTCCGGGGAGGCACGTGCGGCAGCTCGGTCAGCGCCCGCGGGGAGGAGGAGGGGAGGAGGAGGAGGAGGAGGAGGAGGAGGAGGAGGAGGAGGAGGAGGAGGAGGAGGAGGAGGAGGAGGAGGAGGAGGGACTGGTTGGGAAGAGCAGTCGCAGCAGGCCGCAGCAGGCGACATGCGGCTGTGGTCAGTCTCGACGCCTGCCACCACCGAGGGGCAGCCGCTTAACGAGGCGTTGCGCCTCGCTGGCACGAGCGCCCCACACACGACCGACGAACCGACTCACCGACCGGCTGGTCGAGCAGGGGGCGGTCTCGGGGGAGAAAAAGATACGGACACGTGTTGTCCCCCTTCGTTTTCGGCCTTTCCTGGTCCTCCTGGGGAATCCTCGTTGTCACCGCTGGATGCGCCTCGAAATTCTGGTCAGAACGCACCCCAAGAGAGGTCCGGGGACAACACGTATCCGTATCTTTCCGCCCCCCAGCGGTCGGTGGCCGAGCTTGCGGATGGAAGCAGTCGCCAGAGGTCTTGCGCCACGAACGCCGCAGAACAGCTGAGTGGTTCGACCGAACAGCCCAGTCGGCCCTCCTCGCAGGGAGGTGGACTGCAGCTTGCGGAGGAAGGGCTGGCGGAGGCGGGCGAGTCGCCGAATTCCGCCCACACCGTCGGTCTTGCATGATGTTGCGGACCTCGCCCTCCAAAGTCCAGCCAGCGGCAGCGTTTGGGACGGCAAGCACCCCGACTGGGAGGAGCGCCCAGCACCTGCGCAGGGCACGTGCGAAGCCCGCTTCCCGCAGACAAGCCCTCTTGAAAAAGGGAAAGTTTCGGTGGGCGAGCCTGTGGACGAAAGCATTCGCCAGAGATCCGCCCCCCATCCCCTGGAGACGAGGGAGGAGAGGGCGAGGAGGGCCGGCGGAGGTGAGACGGCGCGACCACAATCAGGATGCATGTTCAGGTGCGCTTGTAGGAGTTCTCGTTGTATCACGCCTTGGCTGTCTTGCCCTAACCTAAATTCTAGTGCGATGTATTTTCCCAGTTGTGGCAAAACGGTTGCGCAGCCTCGACTAGAAGTCTGCCGCGCTCACTTCTGCGGATGTTTGCCCCCCCCCCCCCCCCCCCCCGCGTTCGCTGCATGCCCACTGGCCATCCGCCTCCCCCCAATTCGTCACCTCTCAGATCCTCACTCCCTCCTGTCGCTCTTCGGGCATGCCCGAGAAGCCCAGAGGGGGGCGGGCTGACGGTTGGTAGAGGTGGAAGGCGCGGCAGGGAGAGCTGTTCAACGATTGCGGTCAATTGGTCAACGATTGCGTCTGACGCTCGGCCAACTCTGCAGTGCGGGAGCAGCGGAGGTCTGATTTCGACCCCCTCCTTGCAGAGCCGGCGTCCGCTATGCGGCGGAACGTGCTGGAGTTGGCGTCCCAAGTGCGGACGCGGTGCCACGGCGCTAGCAAAGCAGTCCGAAGCAGGGTGCTCCAGGATCACCCTGGCAAAGAGAGCACTGCGCGCACGGACGGGTTCACCTTGATGGCCTGGCTGAAGTGCGCGAAAAAGTGTTGGGGAACGCCCCCCTAGAGACGTGCCTGCCTAGAGAATGCTCGAAGGACGTCGATTCGAGGCAGCACCACTGTGGAGCGCGAGGATTGCTCGGCGGCGCGCCGAGGGGGGGAGCGAGAGTGGGCAGGCCTTGTCACAGGGCGGGTTTCTCAGAAGCCTTCCGGCTTTCTGAGAAACCCTCGGCGGCTTCGGGGAAGGCTTGGTATGTTTTTTCAGCTGGCCAGTCCTCCTCCTCCTCCTCCTCCTCCTCCTCCTCCTCCTCCCAGAAGCCTTCTGAGCCTTCCGAGAGGGCCCGCCCCCTCTGCCATCCCCCTTAGGCGCGCCGCCGATGTGTCCCCGGAGCGACGAGTCGGAGTTCTACCCAGCGGCGTATTTTATTTGCACACACGGAGACAGCGCCAGACGATGCATTGCGCCCTTGAGGGCACTGGCCTCGCAGCGGGCCCCGAAGCTGTTGTCCTGGAAGCCCGTGTCTTCAATCCTGCGGTCCTCGTATGGCCCTGCAGTACGTTGCTTGCTCGGCCGACTCGAGGCGAGCTGAGGATCGGAGGCGTCGCCAGACCGGAGGAGGACGCGTTGCCGAGGAGGAAGGGGGAAGAACAGGGAGGGGGAAGGAAGGGAGCTAGTGAGGCAAAGGAGAAAAAGAAGGAGGAGGAGGAGGAGGAGGAGGAGGAGGAGGAGGAGGAGGAGGGGGATTGTAGTGTAGCGTTGATGCCCTTGAGGGTAAGCAGAATCCTTCATGTATCGGGTGGGGCACTTGGGCTCACCCACCCTTGCGAGTCGTTGCCAGGAGGAGGAGGAGGAGGAGGAGGAGGAGGAGGAGGACTGGCCAGCTGAGGAGGAGGACCGGAGGATCAGCCGAGGAGGAGGACAGGAGGAGGAGGACAGGAGGGCAGGCCGCGTGGAGGTCCGCGAAGGCCAGGTGCAGACTTTCTGTGACATCGGCGGCGAGGCAGAGGTATACGGCACCAGTGAGAAGCGATTCGGGGCAGCCGAAGAGCGAATCCGCCGGCATGCAGGAGGAGGGGCAGAGACGGACGGAGCGGCCGCAGAGAAGGGGGCAGGCGGGGGGCACGGAGGCCGGGTAAACACACAGGGCCATCTGTTTCGTCCAGCGCTCGGCCATTGCATGGCCGGGCACGCTGGCCCTCCACGTGTGTGTATCCAGCGCGTGGCCTCCAGATGTTCCACGTGTGCATCCAGCCGTGTGTGCGTGCTCCAGCTTCCCGGCAGGGTCTGGGCCTCCCGAAGTTGGTCGGAGCAGATGGGCTCGCAGGATCGCGTCGCATCGCCGATGCATCGGCGATGCGGCTCGATGTGGAGCCCGATGTCCTTCATCGCCACTGCATCGGTGATGCATCGACGATGCTGCGCGATCCTTCGATCCCATCTACTCCGACCCCGATCTGGGAGGTCTCTAGCTTGACAGTAGTTGTCGCACTTGCTGTGCGGCACGGCCACGATCGCACTGGGAGTGTCGAAGATACCGCTTGCCCGCCTATGCGGCGTGGTAGGCTGGGGGATCCCGGATGGCCTCGAGCTCACCAGGATGCCGCAGTCGAAAAAGAATTCGACTGACGCCAAGAATTGGTGCGGACGAAATACACGAAATCGGCCTACTAAAACGCACACACAGCATGTGCAGGATCTGAAATGGTTGAGGGATTCATTGTTCATCCCCAAGAGCCAGCTTCAAACCAAGCGACAGACGACTATACTTGCCAAGTTGGCTTGCGGATCGGCGAGTGACTTTGAGCAGCTTATAGCTAACTGGACACATCCACATCCCAAAGAAACAGTCTTGCAAGCCGAGGACGAACATCCACGAGCCCTCGGTCACGCAAGAGACAGTTTGGTCCTGAGTCCCGAAGTGGACACCGACTTCAGCAACGACTGGTTCACGAAGCCGCGCCCGAGGTCTAATAAGATCAAGCGAGGCTTACATCCCACCTCGTCGAGATAGGTGCCCTCCTCTGTTTGAGGATCGAGCCTCAAGGATCGACGCTCATCTTTGGGAACGCAGGCGCGCCGACCGGGAAAAACATGAGCCAGCGGTCTCGAGACGAGCACACTCCCTCTCAGCCCACTCCTGGCTGCAGGGCCGCAGGCGGGTGGTCACGAGCTCCCCTTGCTGGGCGCTCGGAAGGCTCGGGCACGCGCCCGTGCCTCCACTACTGCAACAGCGTCGGGCTGGCGCTGGCCTCTGCGAGAGAGGCGAGCCGCAGCGTCAACCCGGGGACGCCGTCGGACGCGCGGCGGCGACCCGCCTGCCCCTGGACGGTTCGAGCCCACAAGTCGCCGAACTCCACCCCTACACGTTGTTCATCTCTCTAATGTTTCGAAGGTTCTTTGTTTTTTTGAGGGGCAGAGTCCTTTCATTTCTAATTCTTTTATCCTGGGCCTCTTCCTGGCCACCTAGGGGGCCAGGAACAATTAGAAATGAGCACAAATTGAAATGAGCACGATTAGAAATGAACGACCGGTACCGTGAGGCTTGCATGATTTTATGGACCTGACCCCCCAGAGTCAAGCCAGTGGCAGCGCTGGACGGCAAACATCCGGACTTGGAGGGACGCCCAGCGCTTGCGCCCAGGGGCACGTGACTGCCCCAGCCACACACCCCGAAGCCCCTTTCTCACAAGTAAGCTGGCTTGGAAAGGGAATCAGGAGGAAGGAGAAGAGGACAGGGAGATTTCGAGGCGTTCTCTCGCTGGGCACGCCCTCGTCGCCGCGGCTGGATCCGCCTCGAAGTCTTGGCCAGAAGACGCTCCAGGTGCGGATGCCGATTTTGAGTAGGAGGCGGACCAGGAGCAGAAGAAGTACAAGGAAGAGGGCGGGCCTGGCTGCTGAGAACGTCGGTCTCTCGGAGTCTCTCGTAACGGTTGGCCGCGCCGGTGCTGGGTGGGGCCAGGAGTGCAAGAAGAAGTTCGGAGAGAGTAAGGACGAGCAGAGATGCATCAAGGACGAGGAGCGCGAGACGTTCAATTGGGAGAAGGAGCTCATGATCTTGGAGTATTTGTCGAGCCCAGAGGGCTTCTCTCATATCCTCATGATGGACGCAGGCGCTTGCGGTCCTGCCACCCTGCGCGCGACCAGAGGGGCACCGACACGGACAGCTCGCCCTGCCCTCCGAGGGTTCTAGAGACTTCCTTTCCTCCTCCTCATCCATCTCCTCCATCTCCTCCTCCTCCTCCGCCTCCTCCTCCTGCTCCTCCTCCTCCTCCTCCTCCTCTCTCCTCCCCCCTCCTCCCCCCTCCTCTCCCCTCCTCCCCCCTCCTCCCCCCTCCTCCAGCAGGTACGCGGGGGGCAGCACGACTGGTAACTGTCTTCACCCGCTTCTTCCCTGCCTCTTCGCCCTGTCCAGTCGCTCCGGCTCGTCGTCGGATCGGATCGGGGCTCTCTTCTCACTATTCCCGTTTTGCCTGGCTCGGCACGGGCTCTTTTGATCCGATCCTCCGGAGTCGGGACGCCGTGGCCGTCGCGACTCGGATCTTCATCCCCGGCGGCTCCGCGGATTGTGGCTTCGACGACGTGCAGGGAGGGCCTTCGCGCGCGCTGCCAGGAGCACGGCAGGGCTATGCTCCCTGTTATCCCGCGGAGGGTTGGCTCCCGCTCTCACTCCTCTCGTTGGCTGTTTCCTGTCCTTACCCCTGACTGGGTGGTGGCGGAGTACAGGCGGGCGGTCCGCTGCGTGGGGGGGGTACACATGCCACTGCTTGCTTTTTGAGAACATCGGACCCCTCTGATCAGGCTCCACTTCGTAGGTGCAGCCCCCTGTGTTCGCTACGAGCCACGGTTCCCGACCGAGAACTACCCAATATGAATATGACCTTCCTCTCTCCCCTGATGATGTCTTCATTTCAGGACGATTGTCCCAGAGATTGTTTCTGTCGCACTGCATCGTTCCGAATGGTCATTCGATGTGATGCTTCCCTTCGGCATATTCTTGTCCCATCAGAATGTTGTTTCCATCGAAATGCAGTTCCCGCTGCGGCGTTGGCTAAATTTCAGGATCGGCGCTTTGCTCTCGTTTTTCTGAAAGTCGCTCTCGCTCGAGCTCGGCGCACAGTTCAGGATCCGAGTCCTTCGTTGTTGTTGCCCCGTCAATTCCCCTCCTCAGCTTTCCCCTGGTCCTCATGCTCGTCCTGCTTCTGCTGCTGCTGCTGCTGCTCCTCTTCATCATCGTCCTTCTCCTTCCTCATCCTTCTCCTCCTCTTCCTCTTGCTCCTCACCCCTCTGGTCGTCCGACGCGTCCTTTCTCTCCACTGTGCATTGGTCCCCTCGCAGATTGGCCATATCACTCCCCTGCCCGACCGTCGCCAGACGCCGCGCTCGTTCACCCCGAGCACGACACGTTGCGGCTCATGGTCAAGGAGCTCGAGGCGTCTGGCAAGGACTGGGCAGGGGTCCGCCGGGCTCTGTGGGGGAGCTGGGCTTAGCGCGACTCACGGTTCAAGTCTACCTTCTTGGCAGGTTTTCTCTTCATGTTGCTTCCATATTCCCCTTGTCTACCTCGTCTGTCTTTTCCTCCTCCTCCTCCTCCGCCTCCTCCTCCTCTTCCTCCTCCGCTGCCTGTTCTCCTGTACCTCCTCCTCCCCCTTCGCCTCATGCCACGCCCCGCATCCTCCTCATGATCCTTCTATTGCCGGCTTCTCCGACCCCCCAGTTGCCACCGACCACCGCGTTGCCTACACGACTCGGGATACTTGGGCGCCATGGTCCCCTCCAATTCATTCCCTCTCTTTGCGTCACACCAGCGTTGCCCTGACGAGAACAGCGGAGGTTCCTCGTCGTGCACAGGCCTCCATTTTACATAGGCTCGGACAGTGTTCGTGGAGGCGGCGTACCTGATGCTCCCTGGCTTGGTGTAACTGCTCATTGTCTTCGTCCCTGGGCACCTTCCCGACGATGGCCCCCTGATCCTTCAGTGGGGCCAGTGCCCAAGAATGGCCCCATTGAAGCCTTTAGCAGCAGGGCCGTTAGCGTCGTATTGTGCTCACACTCTGACTCGAAGACCTTTACCTGCAGAGGGTAGCTCCATGTCTGGAGCGGGCCAGTCTTGGGTGCCACGCGAACGACCCGAGGTGGATTTCAAAGAACTGTGACTAGCGGATTCCGCCGGGACCGTGGACGACGCCCCCTGTGATCGGATGCCGATCGCCAAGCGCATCATTTCGATTGTGGGTTGCATTGGAGTTGCCAAGACTTCGCCCTATTTTCGTGGTGCGTCCTGCTGGTCACAATGCGACCGCTTGTCGTAGCGGTGGAATGGACGCAGCGTTCGCTCCATGTCTCGCTCCAGCTAGTTGTAGTTCCGCGTCGCTGTCGCTGTTGGTGTCACGATTCCGGCGGCGCCGGTCGCATTGGTCATAGTTGTGGAGGCGACGACAGATACGCCGCCCGCGATCACGACCGCGACGGTCGTCACAGGCTTTGTAACCGAAGTTCTTGGTTGGCTTGCTCTGCTGACCGCCGCAATCGCCTCCAAAGCACCCCACCCGTTGCTAGAAACCAGCCACCCCGCGGCGGTGGCGCAGTCTCTGGCGCATTCTTGCTCGAGCCATGTTTACTACTTCGCGGCCGGCGTGGGACGACGGCTGACACCCAGCGCAGGCGCAGGAGGGCGGGTGGATGGGACGACCAACGGAGCCCGAGAGACAATTGCAGGACAGAGCTGATGAGGGTCAGTTTAAGGCTGATGAGGGTCGTTTAGGCCAAGCCTTAAACTGGGTCGATTAATGACAAAGCAGAAGAAATGGGGACTAGCTTCATGCAGGTCAGTTCCGACCTTCGATTAATACCATGTCAAGTCCCGCGTGGTAACAAGGGATATTGTAATGGTCTCCGGCCAGTGCCGCCGATCTGGGGGGCCCTGGATTCGGTGATCCTCGCGGCTCTGTGGCCTCCTCCCTCCTCGATTATTCCGGTTCTCTTTCCTCTCCTCTGGGGGGGATGCTTGGAGCGGCTACTGCGATGCAGGTCCACCGCCGTTGGCTACCGGCCAAACGTAGATATCCTGATGCCTGCGGCAGATCCCGCCACTGGGCCGCCACCGTGCCGGCCCCGCATTATGTGTACCGATTCTTCGTGGAAGCACGGGAGGCCGTCACGTGCGACACCTCATGCCTCGTGCCTCCAGACTTGGGAGAGCAAAACCGCGATGAGGATGATGATGGGAGTGCGGTGCACAGCATTGATCGTTCCTCCCCGCGGCCGTTGTTTTGGCTCAAGGTTTTTTGCTGCGCAAGAGGAGCGCACGGACCGTCCCCGCGGTTAATGATCTGGGGTTTCTTTGCCTCGACCGCGTCGGTGCAGGTCGCGACCAGCAGCGTGGTCACCGCCTTCTCGGCCTGGGTCCTGCGGGGCGTCTTCTCGGACGCCGCGGAGGCCGCACGAGCGGCGGGAAGAGCGGAGGTCAGGCGCCCAGACATCCCGGAGCCGATCTGCCACTGCCACTGTCAGTGTGAGTCGGTGTCGGCTCCCAGCGGCGGGGGTCACCAGGCGTGGCAGCTCATCGCGTGTGCAGTGGTCTGCCTGTTCTTCTCTTTCGTGCAGGTGACCGTCACGTGCGTTCAGTATGGCGCTAGTTGGGATTCCAGTCGGGCCACCAGCTCCTCCAGGTCCTCGAGTCCGGGGAGCGGACGGGTGGCCCTTGCCGACGGGACCAGGGGGAGCGACGCTTCGACTGGCTTTGGTGAAGTACGCGGGCGCGGGCGAGGACGTGTCACACGAGCGGATATTCCTGAATGATATGGTAGGAGGGTTCGTCACGATTGCGACCCCCGACTCCGATGTGTACGACGAGGACATGAGTGATCAGAACGTGTTCGAGATGGTGAGGTTCCTCGGTGACAACGGGGAGCTGCCGCTCGGGCTGGGTGGAGCGCGCCTGCACCGCTTCCAGCAGCCGCCGACCGACGCGGAGGTGGACCAGCTGCTGGCCGAGGCGGTCGGCGTCGTCGCCCTCCGCGGCGGAGGGGGGGTCGCGGGCGTCGCGGGCGGCCCAGCCGGCCGCGTGGCAGGCGCCGCTGCGGGCGGCGCTGGGCCAGCGGCCCCGGCCGTTGCGTGGGTGCTCGCGGAGCAGGTGGACGGCCATAGCATCGGCGAGATCGTCACGATGCCCGCAGGCGCGGCCCAGGCGAACGGGCACGGAATCATGGTGCTGCTGAATATGCATATCCCGCGGCCCGTTCTGGTCAAGCAGCTGAATAACTACCAGGCGGAGATCGACACGTTCTGCGAGGAGCGGATCAAGTGGTGCCGAGCAGCTACGGCGACACATGGTCAGGACCAGGCGGTCGGTGACGACGCGCGGACGCCGTCGGTGAGGTACGGGCCCGACGGGACTCGAAGGCGAGAGTTCAGGCAGTCGGTGCAGGAGATGACCATGACGGAGTTCGACGACTGGCCGCTGAGCGGCCCGCGGACTACGGAGTGGATGTGCCGCGAGATGATCAAGTTGGCGGAAGGGCCACGGGCGCAGCACTCGAAGTGGCTTTCGGAGGCAAAGATTCCGGATGGAGATCGCTCAGTCCACGAGGACGCTAACCTGGCGCTGGCGCAGGAGCTCGCGGTGACGCACGACGGGCTCAACGTGATGAACCTCGCGTGCACGGAGGCAGCGGCCCCCAGGCGCCAGTTGATCGCCGAAGCTCACCACGCCAACCCGAGTGCTCCGAGCTACGAGGGAGCAGCTCATGTCATGGGCGACGGGATGCGAGCTGGGGGAGCGCTGGTGTCACCCGCGCTGACTGCCCATGCGTCGGACCGGCTGCGGGCTGAGGCGGCCATCTCGAAGGAGAAGCGCAAGGCGGCGGAGGCAAGCTCGCTTGCACCTGGCGCGGCCGTGGACGCGGCGGCCGGGGTGGAGGAGCTGGCGCCGACGCCGCTGGGGCTGGCTAGTCTGAAGGATCTGAGGCGCGGATTGGCTCGACCGCACCTCGGCGCCCCCCCAGAGCCTGTGTGCAGCGCGTGGAGGGCGGGCTTCGACTCTTCCCGTTCGCCGCGACTACATGTCCTGAGTCATGGCCAAGCCGCGCAGCGAGGCCGCTTTTGCTGGGGGGGAGAACGCCCCGAGCAGGTACCGCGATATATACCCCTTGCCTCGACTCGCCGAGGGGCGACGTGGCGACCTGCGACGGATGTGCCGTTCGACGACGCGACGCCTGACACGTCGGTGGGCTGTGGCCGCTGCAGTCGACAAGTCGGTGGACGCTCTCAACTCGATGTACTTTGGTGCTTGTGATGCGCCCGCCCCTCCTGCCGTCTCAGACCTGATGACGCTGCCGCAGTGCCAGCGCGCTGCTCTCGGTCATCTGACGGGGCCCGCTCGCGAGCTGGGCCCTAAGCCTCCGAGTGTCACCCGCCCAGGTGCCCTCCAGGAGCTTCGGGTTTTCGGCACGACTATGCAGGGGGCCTGGGGCAGGGCGCCCGGGCCCCCATGGTTTGGGAGAAACTTTCGCTTCCGGACGTGGAGCGCTCGCCTGTTGAATTGGAGTCAGTCTTGGTAGGTTTGCCTCAGGAACGCCTTCGGAAGTTTGAAGACAAAATGCTCGTCGTGGCAGCGGTCTGGAGTCAGCTGCCCGACGAGGCACCCCGAGCGCCTCCTTACACGGACCCGCTTTCGAAGAGCCCCTGGGGGTTCAAGGCTTTTGCTTCCAGGATGGCCTCTCGGGGGCTCGTGAGGTTCACTCGGCGCCCAGCTGCTCGAATCGGGGCGTTCACGGTTTTAAAGAAGTCGGGGATGCAACGCTTGGTCCTCGACTGCCGCCAATGTAATCTTAGGTTCGCCCCTCCTCCGCACACAGAGCTAGGTGGTTTACGTTCTTTGAGTGACCTGGAGATCCCCGTAGGTCAGGCCCTGCATGGGGCTGAGGCTGACATCAAGGACTGTTTCTACGAGTGCGGGATCTCCGATGAGCTTTCATATTTCTTCGCGTTCGAGGTTGATGCCGTCGTCGGGGATCTTCTGGAAGCTGGTGCATCGGGGGAGTTATTGAGTGATTCCGGATTGGATGAGCAGGTATCGATGCGCTTGACTGTCCTGCCCATGGGTTTTACCTGGTCGTTCTGGTTGGTCCAAGAATATCACGTGCAAGTTGCACGTAGGGAGGTCTCGGATAAGTTCGTTCTAGTGGACGGGCACCCTGTCCCGAGCATGCAGGCAGGCGAGCGCGTCTACATGGCGTATTGTGATAATTTGAATGCGGGCGCCTTTTCGTGCAAGCTAGCTGGCGAGCTGCGTGATGATGTTCAGAGAGACATGGAGCAGGACGGCTTCACCATACACGACATCTCGGGACCGCCCCTCGTCGCCCGCGTGCTGGGCTCGGTTCTAAATGGGGGTGCTGGCACTCTCAGCCCGGACCCCGACAAGCTTTGGGAGTTGATCGTG